GTAGAACCCTCTCATAAAACCACATAATCCCATAAATTATAGAATTAATGTGTTAATAAAGCCAACTTTCTATCTGATCCATACATTTTGTTTCTAAAATAGATTATTATTTTTAGTTATTATGATCTGACTTTTGCTTACTAATTTGTTCAGTGAAAAGTGTATTAAAATATATATTTGGGCATAATTGGTCATAGATACAAAAAAAAAAAAAACAACCTCTCATTTTTTCCTTCCTATGTGAGTCAAGTTTTCAAATTATTTAAATAATTCCAGTGAGTGACTTTTACTTAAATTATTTGGATAATTGCATCTATTCAAACTTGACCTTCTTGGGTATTGACCTATCAGCCCGGAGGACTACATTTGAAATAATTATCAAATTGTTGCTTAGTTAAACCATAGTTTAACTCAGAGACTCTAATGCTTCATTGTGTTAATTTTATGTATTCTGATCCTTCTTATTGATTAATTATGATTTATGGAGAGCAGCCTTTTTCTTCTGTGTTTACTTGAATCCACGGAGACTTCCTTCTGTAGGAGGGGAACTTTCATAGATTTGGTGCTTACTGTAGTTGTTGGTTCTAAATAATTAAGGTTTTTATTTTAAATGTAGTTCTAAGCATAAAGAATTGTCAGAATTTTCTTTAGGTACTTGAATGAAGTTGCTTAAATTCTTCAACTCTCCAAAATCTTAATTGGGTTTCTCTGGTGTAATGCTTTCTTTCCCAATTCCTTTCTTTGAAATGAAAACTCTCTTCTAACCCTGTAGCTTTTGAGGGTTTGCTGAAGGCAAAGTTGTTAGCAAAGATTTTTATTTCTGACTTATGGTTCCAACTTTCTTTTCATTTCAATAGAAAGAATGCAATATGTCCTAATAACCGTTTTATCTGGAATGGGTGAAAAACTGAAGTAGAAATTCTATCATTTTCAGATAGATGTTTTTTTTTTTAATTAGAAAAAATTGTGGTCTACATTAATCCATTCAAAATACACGTTTGCTTTCATGATATAATATATGTTGTATTCAGGTTTAAAATTATTTACAAGGATGTTTTTGAGACAATAAAGGCAATGGAACTGAATTTAAAGTTATGAAGAATTCTAGAAGAGGTTTCTGTTCAGGGAAGGCGTCAAACTGAAAGAGAGGACACACATAGGATTTCAGGTGGAATTTAAGAAAAGAAAAGCCTGACTTTTCTTTTCCTTTTTGCTTTTAGTATTACTTCTAATCCTTAAATGAAACAGCTGTCATTAAAACTTGAAAACATTTCTGTTTAAAAAGCAAATATGATTTATTGATGCCAGAAGCATCGATAAAACTAACATACTTTCAAGGTAATTTTGTTTGTGGTGGTACAAAGAAATAGAATTTGTTTTGTTTTATGGGTCTGAAATTAACATATTATGCAGAAGAATTCCAACCAAAGACTTCAACAAGTCTACAGTGACGATTCTGATAGTGGTGGGTGTTAACTGAACACCCACTGTGTGCCAGCTCCGTTCATTTTTGTCTCTTAATTTTCATGGCAACCCGCTGAGATAGTTATCATACCTGTTTTATAGATAACAAAGCTATTCAGAGAGTTTAAATAACTGATTGAAAAGTAAGAGAGTAAAGACAAGAAACTAGGAATAAGTAAAGTTTGAAAAATGTTCAAATTAAACTTGTAGAATTCTATCTGGCAAATTCTCCATAGTATTTAGTTAAATAAAGTATAATTAAAGGTGAAATTAAATTGAATATAAAATAATATTTAATAAATAAATACATACTCAAATTTTAAATGAGAAATAGATTTCACAGTGAAGGCACAATTACTCTGTCTCTAAAAATGTGCATATAGGTTCAGCTACATTTATCAGAACACCACAAATAATAATGGTTTAAGCAAAGTGGATCCTTATTTCTCTTATAACACAAATCCGGAAGTTGTCTATTTCCTGCATGCTGCTAACACTTATGTTAAAATTGCTGCTGGAGTTACAACCACGATGTCATGCATTCCAGGTAGCAGAAGGGAGGGAAGGTGAGCAAAGAGACATGTTTCAGCTGTATGTACTCCTTTTAAATAAAGAGCTTACTCAGAGTCCACCTCAACAGTTTGCTTACTGTTCATTGGTCAAGAACTTTGTCACAGAACCACACTTAGTTACAAGAGACTCTAGGAAACGTGTGGTCTATACCAAAACATATTGCTGCCCCAAGTAGAATTTAAATGTGAACAGTATATGGAATGTCAATAATACCTCAATAAAGATGTTTAAAAGAAAATAAAAACGACAGGAAGAAATACATCAAGCAGGTATTAACAAGGGAAACCATGAAAAGATCACTTTTAGCTGTATTTTATGAGGCAAAATAGACATTAAGGCAAAAATCATCATTAGTGATAAAAGATACTATGCAATGATAAAAATTCAATTCTTATTAGACATTTTATGTTTAACTATAAACTTACAAATGTATAGTATTAGATATAAAAATATGAAGTTCTATGCACAGATACTCTCAGAATAGTTTTCTAGCTCAAACTAAAAGGAGATATTGGTCAATCCCCAATTATAGTGGAAACTTTCAGTATGTTTAGTAGACTCAAAATTAGTGAGGAATAACAAAATTAATAAATTTGATTTAATGGGTATATGTGGACTTACCTGCCCTAAGTTTGAGTCTAGGGTGGCCAAAAAACAGTCTCTATTCTGGTCTATTTGCATTGATTGTACATTGATTTTTAAAAAAAATGCACACACGTGTACAAACAAACTGAATATGTTTTATATATGTGTGTGCATAATTGCATTATCTCTGTGCATATTTCTATAGTTAGAAAATTTCCTTTAACTATACTTATTTTAGTGTGTTCACTAGTGGTTACCAATGGAGTATATTTTTTAATTTATAATTTAAGAATATTTTTCCCTTATATGTGTATACTTTTAAAACTAACAAATTTTTTAATAATAATTTTGAATATTCCTAATGTTTGTCACTGCTTTTCCATAAATTAATCCTTCAAGCCTCAGTCATTACTTTTCATAAACTACATAGAAAAAATATCAAGGTATTAATTTCAGGTCTTCTGTTATGATCAGAGTATCTTATGTGGCAGTTAGTAAGTAGGATATGGGTTCAAATTATTATGTTTGTGGTACTATGGACTTACTGTCTCTTTCAATGTGTAACAGATTTTTAAAATTGTTTACTTTTTATCATTCTTGAACCAAGAAATGTGGAAATCTTGTGAATGTGAATGCGCTTGCTGTTGAGTTGAAGGTCACATGTCCAGCTCAACAAAAGCTAGTTGTGAGATAAATCACCATGCTATGAAATGATCCCATAAATCAAAGACCCGTGCCAGGTCTAAAAAGAGTAGATTTGCAAATTTCTCAAAATCTCCATGACAAATGCCATTGTTTCCTTGAATATAAGGTACTTTTCTCCATGAATATGTTCTGTAGTTTAGAAAACTGGACCTCAAAAGTCTATATTAGCTAGTAATAGTAAGTAGTTACTTAGGCTAAAATGATGGATGTATGAATATTTAAAACGTTTTTTTAAATGTTTATTACTTTTGAGAGACAGAGAGAGTGTGAGTGGGGGAGGGGCATAGAGAGAGGGAGAGACAGAATCTGAAGTAGGCTCCTCTAAGCTGTCAGCACAGAGCCTGACATGGGTCTCGAACTCAGGAACCATGAGATCATGACCTGAGCCGAAATCTGATGCTTAACCGACTGAGCCCCCAGGCACCCCTGATTTTTTTAAAAGCCCTTTTATAACTGTCTTCTTTAGAGTTTTAAATTTTCTTAAGTTTGTTCCTTATTAATATATCTTAATTGGAAGTGTTCTTTTGAAAAGCACAACTAAAATTTGGGGAAGGGAAATTAGTTTTAAAGTCAGAACCTCTTCCTGAGTTCACTAGTTCATTAAATTAGAAATTAAAAGTAGAGGAAACTGACAAGGGAATTGGGGCATACTGTGGAATTACTTTCAAAGCTAAACACAAAAGTGAAACTGTGTCAAAATCATAATTAGTATTTGCCCTTGAATTGTCCTTGTTAGCAGAAGTAGAACAGTGGAAAATACTGCATAGAAGCATTGGCTAGAGACCGTGTATTTCTTAGCCAGAACATCCCAATCATTCTAGCAGAATATAATCAAGAGGAGGAGCTGTGATGTCTGTGGTTTAACCCCACCCCCACCACCACACACACATATCTTCTACCTTTCTAACTTGCATCATGAAATCACGTAAATCTGTGCCATTCAGGATCTCATTGACACCAGTTAAAAGCTGTATAGAAATTTAAAAAATAGTCTGTTATAGATGACCTAATTTTGATGACCCTAAAAGTCAGTGATTCATATAATTATTTTAGTAGGTCATTTCCACTTTGGATATTTCTGATGTGTGCCTTATCAATGTGATAGGGTACTTGTGAGGAAGTGGGGTAAGTGAACTTGGAAGATGGGAAATTTGTCTTAGTATCATGGGGGATTTTTCTTCAGTCTTGCACATTTTGAACTACCATGGCCTTTCTGTCTCAACATTTCTACAGTCCAATTTATCACTGCTTTTTTGTTGAAGGGAAATAAAATTGCTACATATTTCTTGAGTACATGTGTTGGAAAGGATAAGGGGAGAGAGTTTATTTGTATGGAAGCCAATGTTTTGTGTTTGTTGTAAGACCAGAAGCAAATGTTTGAAGGTGATAAATGGTTTGAAAGGCATGTGAGTTTCTTAGACTACATCCAGTGCTTATGTAAAGCTTTTCTCATCCCTCTTTGTTAATCTTTCTCAAATTCTTCTATTTGGCAGGAGTATTTTACTTATCTCCGTATTGACATGTCTTTTCCAACACTTATTTTAACTCTTCTCAGATGGCACAGACATCCTCCCAACTATGTTCCAATTAGGTTCTACTAAATAGGTGGTGGCTGTCTTAACTTGACCTTAGATAAACAGAGTCTTGGGTGACTTACCAGTTTGGGATTGCAGCTACAGGCAATTGGCAAGGGAGTAGAGACGACCTCGCAAGAAGCCTGCAGAAGGGATGCTGGAGGAAATCTTAACCAGAGTTTTGGGCTGAAGTTGAAATAAAAGTGTCTCATTGAAACACTGATCTGAAAATGCTGAGAAATAAGGTAGAAACAAGGAGTAAGGCAAGGGAACCAAAACAGAACAGGTGGGTATAGAATATGAATTGAGAAGCTAGAGCCAGATCCCTTCCTTTTGGTGCTTAACTAGCATGCATATGTTTTATATAGGACAGCTCAGCCCCACTGGATGGAAAGGGAATTCTTCGGGTCATTGAGTTGATTTCAGTTCTTTTTACAGGGAGATTGTAACCTGAGGAGTATAATAGCATTCTCCCATCTGATCTTGATTGGAAATGAATACCCAGAGCAAATCCATATGAACCACAGTAGTGAGGTAGTAGGTAGACCACATTGAGCTGATATCTTCCCCATTATATTGGGGAAAATGGTGTCCTCTTTGGGCAGTTTCAGAGAAAATTGGTGAAGCTGCATTCTTCATTATATTTTCAGTGAAAATCAGTTATAAATCCTGTTGAAATGCTTCATACCCTTTCTATCCCCAAATTGGGAAACACTGAAATGATGGAATAAACAAAATATACCAAGTAGAATTATAGTATCAGTTCTGTTTTACTTAATCAAATTGTATTTAAAAGATTTTCTTTGTCATTAAGAAATTGACCTGGGCATTAGAGTTTAGACAAGTAGCGGTAGTAATTTTGGAGGGCTTTACTGTAGTCTTTTTTTTTTAATTTAAATATTTATTTATTTATTTTGAAAGGGGCAGGAGGGAGAGAGAGAATACAAGTAGGCTCCACGCTATCAGTGCAGAGCTGGATGCGGGGCTCGAACTCATGAACCATCAGATCATTACCTGAGTCAAAATCAAGGGCCAGAGGCTTAACTGACCGAGCCACCCAGGCGCCCCTATTCACCACTATTTTATTTTTATTTTTTAAAATATTTTCTCAGAAATCTAAAATGTTATTGGATATAGCTCAGTATTTATTCATTCTTACTATACGTACAGAAAGTCACATAATATAAAGCAACTATTGATTGTGATGTGTACATCGACACTTAACCTTTAACATAATCTTCAAAAAAAAAAAACCACGCTTATAGCATGCCTCTTTCTTTTTTTTTTTATTTATTTTTTTT